AAAAACAATATTCATGATTGGGGTATCCACTCTTTTCTGAAATGGGCGGGCTTTCATGCAATATGGGCGGAGCTTGTATGAGAACTCTCAATTAAGCTCAGAAATAAATTGCATTTTTTGTGGAAAAGATTGCTTGTGCCTAAAAATCAAAAACTCACATTTTCTTGCCACTAGCTTTTGTGCTTTCATTTGTATAGGAATCTACGTGATTTCTTATGTCACTGATGACATCTGAGATTGCTGACCAATCCTAAATTTTTGGTTTATGTTGTTCGCACATTTACTTAGGCAATATTAGACTGACCGGTTCTGATCCATCAGGAGTTCTTGCCAGATATTCAATTCCAGTCAGGTGGAAGCCGTCTACACCGCGATCTATCCATGATGAGAGCACTTCCTGAAGTAAAATTAACCATTTCAAATTTTATTTTCTGCTTGATTTCTTTCTTGATTTCTTCTTCTATTGCTAGCAGGTCTTGTTAACATCTATTAATGTTTTTCACAAAATTTTCTAAGTGGCTCAAAAACGGTATGACACTTCTGCCAAATTAATGTAAAATCGGCAAGGAGAAGCATAAAAGGAATTTAAAAGCTTAATGAAGAAAGTTGTATTAATTTGGCCATAAAGTTCCACTCTGCTAATTGAGTCAGGTCTGTAAAAGTAAATAATCATCCCATAAAAATTTCCCTAAAGTTTTTTCTTGAAATAAAAGTAAAAATTGCTTTGCCTTTCCCCCTCGGAAGTAAATCTGCAGTAACCATTTTACACAAATTTTGCTCATTTCGAGTTACATTTGTTGAGAACTTAGCACAAAATCTGTGGAAATCTAGAAAAATTTATATCTATGAATACTTACAAACATATGAGCGCGAAGATTCGAGTTCTGCCAGTTCAGAACTGCTGAATTTTTGTTGCCTTTCTCGTGCATATAGTATACTCCTTTATAATTAGTAAAATAGTCATCTGCTCCTTTCGAGGCCCAATGATAGAACTAAAAAGATTTTATGGAAAAGAAAAGCACATATCCAATAAAACATGTGACTCACTCCAGAATAATTTCTATTTTCAGGAAGGGTTGCTCTTGATGATTTCAAAAACCATTCATGTTCAGTCGAAGTTGTAGATATAGGCATATTGATGACGAATTTCATATCTAGAGAAAAATTAGTTGGAAAACGCAGTTCAAAATGTTTCATTACCTTTGTCATGAATTTCACTAATCGCTTTGTCAGCAACTTGATTTGCTCCAAGAGCAGGATCCATTTGGTCATAGCTTCGCACAGCATTTGAGAAATTGTCACTGATCAAAAATGGTGATGGCCAGACGGTCTGAAGATGCAAATAATTACAAATTAATAGAAATTCAAACAAATTGTAGTAATCACCTGGACACCGCTCTTTCTCAAGTTCTCAAGGCGGTTAAGAAGCCCTTGCATATCACCATAACCATCTCCATCGGAATCTTGGAACGAAGGCACCCATACCTAAAAAGACTTTGCTGAATTTGCCGCTGACTAAGTAAGAAGAATGATGTAAGAAAAGCTAAAAGCTATAGTCGTGATGTTTTTTTTTGCAGTTTTTATAAAACCTGAGTTACTCAGAAAAAATTTCCTAGTTTTCCAGAGCGGTGAAACTTACGTTATAAGCAACAGCGGTTTGCCACCAGTTCGGCTTTGCTCGCACAACGCAGCCGGGACTGAGCACGACGAGTAGAATTGAGATCACAAACAAGGCAATCCATATCAGCCAGAATAATACGAAGAGCACCATTCTGAAAAATGGAGTACTTTTTACTTGTAATTTCAGAGATGTGCATAACACTTTCCTTTCACTTTCTAAACTGCACAAGTGAAGCTATAATTTTCAATCCTGTAGTTCTTGAAAAAAGAGGCTAACAG